TACCCAGTTTGAACCAGCATTCTGTCTGAAAGCCAGAGACTTGACCGTTTAGCATGCTGAATCCTCTTCCCTGGGGGCTGTTTTTCTCCCCTTTGCAGTAAATATGTGTGCAAAGGGCAATGATGTACATAAATATGTTGCAAAAACGGGATGCACGGAAGTACTGACTAGTACTGACTAAGGAGAAAATAATGTTTGTGATAGTAAGAGAAGAATTAGAAAAACCACTGAAAACTTCCCTTGGTTATGGCTACAACATTGAGGAAAACATATTCCAAGGTATTACTGCTAGAGCTGCTTTCTATTGACAGGTTTATCAGTCAAAAGAATTTTAGAAAACATTCACAGTGAAAAATGAAGAAAAATGCAGCCCCTTCTTCTGATCACATGTAATTATTGTACCTAATTCAGAACTTCAGAAGGAGCTATGACGACACACTGCGATACTTCCAACATCCCTTTAATTCCTAGACCCCTCTCTGTATACAGGTTTGTACAACCAAAACACAGACACGCAAGCCTTATTTGCAAATGTCCCTTGTACGCTCAGAGATTAATGGGAACAGTTATAATATATGACACACAAACGAAAATATCTTCATATGGTAAAATAAGACCGGAAGTATGCTGGCACCTGTTTTAATCTAATAAATTGCAATATTCTCCGCAGAAACAAAATCAGAATGTAATACATTTTAAGCATAACCACCCCCTAATTTCAGTTGGGCACCTGACATCATCTCGTCCATGATAACACTTGCTTTTTTTGTCTTTCAAAGCCTATTTTCTCATATAACATTTTCCTAGTCTCTTAACAGTTTGAAAAACATATGTGGTTCCTGCACAAAACCTTTTCAAACTACAGTCTAATATGTCAGGTCACCAAATGTTTGTGAAGGCTCGGGCATATATACACTGCCCTCAGGTTGTTTCTGTACTGAGTTTCAATACCTTTATGTATGCTGTGGTCAACCTGCAGGAAAAAACAAGAACTCTATGGATTTCAGAAGCTGGCTCACATCTTAGGAACAGAGATTTCATTTTGGCATAAAAACATGAGGTTCTTCTTCTTCCTCAATAGCTGCATTATGTTCTACTTTCTGATTCATTTATATTTACTATTTAAATAGTAAAAGGAGTTCCAATTCAGGAAATATAATTTGGAAACATAATTCTATTTAAATTCCAGAATAAGCATTAGCTTCCAAAACATAAAAGCCAGAAGCTTTATGATAATTGAATTTTTTTCAGTAAGTGTAATTCATCAGTAAAGCATTCCTCTAATGATATTATTGTTTCTTTATTTAACTATTTTTGAATTTCTGAAGCCTCTTCAGTGCCACATTCCAAATACTACATTAATCATTTGTATTTTTAGAGTCCAATTTTCCTGCCAGAGACATAGGTTTCATAACAGTTACTAATGCTCTGGGTCTGAAAAATTAGGCCTTTAAAATAAAGACTATCTACTCAGTTAAGACGTCTTGTAATCATTACTTTGTACTATTAGATCCTTAATGGAATAAAGAATGAGTTTAAATTTATTCTAGAAAATAGGATTGCCAATTTTTTGAAACAGGGACTATCTTTTATTCTCTTTGTACAGTGCTAGATTAGAAAGGGCCTGGTCCTGGAGTTTTAAAAATGTACTTAATAGATGATAATGAACAGGCAAAGTGAGTCAAAGAGCAACAAAGATATGCTAAGCCAAACTCCTAGAATAATTAGTTTAAAAATCTAGTTGCAGGCCCCTTTTTTATGGATACGTTATGTGGATTCCATAACACATCATTCTGCTGTGTTCCAACTTAATTTAAGCACAATAGAGATAAGAGAAGTAAATTTTGTTCTGCTATTGCAGTGTAGGACTTATTCAATCATTGCTGTCAACCATGAATAGGAAATCCAAATTAAAGCTAGAAATTTTAGGTTTTGATGCATTTTTCTTAAACTGAATTCTACAGAAAGACTGGTGATTGTCTCCTGGTACAGCACATAAAACGACAATCACAACAGAAACGCGCACTCTGCAGCCTGTTAGGTTTTTCCATTACATGGTCCCGGACGATTACACAGCGAGCGAAGTTTTCTGCTTTGTAAGTAGAACAAACATTGCGGAAGGAAAAACAGTGACTACCCCAACAGCCAACTCACCCCTCCAGGGGAAGGAACCACTTTACACCAAATATCCTAGTCCCTCCCTTCTCAGCTTTGGCCTAACGCCCTGGCCAAGCACCGCAGGGCCAGCAGGCTGCTTTTCCCCACAGGGGCAGCCTGCTGGGGCCAGCTGTTCCTTGTGGGGCTCAGCACCATCCCTGCCACCAGCTTGCAGGTGCTTGGTGCCGAGAGGAACCAAAACCTCTGCTCTGGAAGTTGACCAAAAGCATAGGCAATACTTTTTCTGAGTCAGTCACCACCCATGACCATGATCCCCTGAAGTTATGTCTGACTATGACAAACTGCCCTTTGGTACGGTCTCTGCACCACCCGTCAGATCAAGGGCTTAACCTCGGCCTGGACTTTTTAAACAAGGCAGAAAGGAGAAACAACAAAACAAAATAACTTTAATGTGCCAGACCAGTGACTTCTTTGATCCTTACGTTCAGAAAGTTCTCTCTCCTCCAGCTAAACTCTGCAAATGCTTATTCAACAGCAGATACTAGATAGCATAAGTTTTTTTTAGTTAGTGACTAAGTGTCAAATCCTGATTCTCGTTATAGCTACCTTTAATAGGAAACTAGATTTAGCTACACCATCCGGTTAACAGTGAAGAAAACCTTTTCTTTAAAGCCCAAATGATTTAACTTACAAAAAGAATTCAAGCAATGTTCTCTGCTTTATTGTTAGTCTGAATGACTGTATAATTTATTGTGTAATAATAACATATTCAGTGTAAATCAATGAGATGCATTTTGTACCAGTACTTTTCCTCTATTCGTGCTAACATCAACATCCACCCAGATCTCCTTCCCGCAGCCAATATAACTCTCCCTCAGCATATTCTTTTTGGCCCTACCTGACTGTTTCTTACTTAAAGCTCCCATTTCTTTATCTGTCCGATCCATTTTACTGGAAGTTATGTAAAAACATAACCCAGAAGAACAGAAGAGATAACAGTATACTACAGCAAGGATGAATGGCATTTGCCAGCCATTAGCCAAACTCACTACTGCTGTGGGCTTCACCGAGAGTTGCCCTGTTTTCCAGAGGGTCCGACTGAGGTGGAAGGAGTTCTGCAAAGGCACAGACCCAGCTTTGCTGGTCTCACTGCAGAACCAAGATCTTTCCCTCCCTCCTTCTGCCTTCCTGCCTGTTCAGCCTGCCAGTCTTATAGTGGAAGGAAAGGAAATCTTTATAAGTTTGGGAAGCCCCTATACCCCATATCCTATATATAGCCTTCAGTGACTACTGCAATGCAAAAAATAATTAGCAACTGAAGGATGCAAAACCCATCACTAGGATTTACAGTGGGGTTTCACCAGTCACTTTTTTTTTTTTTTTTGGTTTGTGGCAGGATTATATTTCATTTAAAAATAAACTGTCACACCTTAGTATGTTTTAAAATATAAGGATGCTTTTATATTTTAATTAGAACCTACAAGGTGTTCATGTGGACTTGTGGTTCCTGATACTTTGTTCACTGCAGGTAGTGGGGTTTTATACACATTTTTACCAAGGTATCGAGGCATATGTTTGTTACAGTATAATATATGTCCTGTCACAGTTTATAGATTAAGTAACACATTTAATTTCGTATTTCTGAAGTGCTCATGTAAAAGAAACAAGGTCTTATTAGGAACAATATTAAAATCACTCTGGCTTTATGAAACTTCAGTAAAAAAGACCACGACAGGTCAGGAAAGAGCAAGAAGAATCACTGCAGAAATACGGAGGTAGGGAAAATTACTATTTTGACTTGCATACAAAAGGAGGCTTTCAGCACTGCTTTGTGTTCTACTTGGTTTGTCTCTTACAATCACTCTGAGTATTTCTGCAAGACAGCGAAGAAAAAATCCCCACCTTAATATCTGGCAAATGGGATCCATAAATTAAAAAAAAAAAAAAAAAGATAAAGACTCAAACATTTCTTGGACTGACATGTATTTCCTTTTATAAATAGAAATAATACCTTCAATGCACAGAAGTGAGAAAGTATTTGCCCAGGGATGGCCACATGAAAAAGGAGCCCCAAAATATCTGTTAAGGCCTGAGCCTTAACATTCTTATTTTCCACTTTATCCTGTAGCTCCTGTCACTTCCTCAGCACTGAGGTGAGATGCACTATATCCCAATTGTCTATCAAAAAGTAAAATATTTAGCAATACTACTGAAAAAGAGAGAATGTATGTAGCGCTAAACAGTCAGGAAGCGTGTTAGGGAAAGCTCTGCAAAAAACATTGGTGCTCTCTTCAGTGACTAGCAATGAACAGATCCTAGGCCTAAGCCAAAAAGAAATTGAAGGTAATAACAACAAGAGTGCAAGGAGTTACACATGACTGTCGCTTCTACTGGCAAAAATGAAGACAGAAGTAACTATGGGACGTGATTTCCACAGCCTGTGTGTATACGGTGCAATAGGCTACCCCAGAGCACGGCCGGTGTGCCCAAGTCCATCACGGGTCTCCTCTGGTTGGCACATCTGGACTGCCTTCCTTAAAGCCAGGCATGCCTGGAGATAGTGGGAGCCCAGCTCTTGCTCTGGCATCACACGGACATTGGCACATCTACGTAACACTGACAGACAGGCCAACACCTTAATTAAATCTTACGCCTGCTGACTGCAACATAAAATAATCCCAAATATCATCCTGCAGTTTGTCTTACACCCCAAAACTAAAATACTCAGAAGAAATGAAGTGGTACTCCCCTTATCTTACTCTCCTAAAATCATATTCTGCACATAATCAAGTTTCATCCCTATAAATGAAAGAAGCTGCCTACAGTGCTTAGATGACGCACTTTCCTGAAACAAAGTCTCTGAGCTACAGCACATTTTGTACCTGTTTTTGTTCTTCTCCTAAGCCGTCCCACATTGAAGCTACAATTTTAGAGACTTCACCAAAAGTAGCATTTGGGTTTTGGCCCTTGATGGCTGCTTGAGTGTCTCGAAAGAATAATGCATAGGCAGACACAGGCTTCTGTGGTTCATTTGGGTCCTTCTTCTTCTTCTTTTTGGGAGTTTTGGGTTTCTTTCCCATATCTGAGGCAGGTCTCTTCTCTCCTCCATTGACCTGTAACACAGAATGAGAAAAGTACTGTAAAACAGCCCATTTAAGTCAGCCATCATTATAACTTCTATAAAGCACAGGCATTTTCAATTCTGCAAGCAAAATGTCATTTTAATTGCCATATTTGAAAATCTAAATGACTCCACAAAAATCCATTATAAATATTCTAAATTATGTAACTGTTTCCCTTGAAGTGCTTCACATTTTGTTTTCATACAATTGTTACCTGATTTATAGTTTACCTGGTCATCTTTTCACCTCTTCTCAGTTTTATTGCTAATGGCTATTGCATGCCTATAATAGGTAAGTCCAGGGCATGTTTCTTTACACACTGAGCACCAGTTCAACCAAATGAACCATCTGAATACAGCAACAACACTGTAATTTCGACCTTCCTCTCATCCTCACCCTTTTCCTTGAGAGGCCTACCCTAGGCTAGGGCTCAGATCAGTTTCTACCGCAACGGGCAGGTGTCCTTCCAGGGAATCTGAAGATAATCTGACCGGGAATAAAGTGGCTCCTCCTGATTAAAATCCTTAGAAATAAAGTGTTACCAGCATGGATCAATGAGTTTGGACCCCTACAGAGGATCACTTCTGATCCTTCTAGATTTTGCCTCAATTTTCTTTTTCTCTGCTCTTATAAAAGAAAATTTCTGGTGGTTTGAAAAAAGGAGTGAAAGAGGAATAGTGTATGAAGAGAAGTGCATGTGCATGTTTGTGTACCAATTCAAAAAAATTGCATATAAGAACACGCAGATTTGTGAAATGCAACTACACTTTGCTATTTAAAAACTTAGAGACCCTAATCACTACCACAGCACCCTACTTCCTTAGATGACTTACAAGCCTATATATAAAGGGACATTTCTCTAATTCTTCAACAGATTGGTGCTCCATGGCAATGTATCTTCTGCTGACGTGATGATATAATTCACTATACCTCTAGCAATGATGCGTGATCTAACCAGAGGACCAACGTACTGTGCATCACAAGCAGTTTAAAGTATGAGGAGATCGTGTAAAAGTCACAATCTAATAGGTAAGACTGCCATTACATGCTTGCATTTTTTTTAAATAATGTTTATCCAGTGACACATCAGAGCACAGGTGCTCTTCAAATCAGCCAGAACTACATGAGAAAAATGGCTGCAATATTCTCACTTTGAGAGAAAATCCTTTTATTTTTCTTACATGAGTCACTGCATTCTGTCCAGTAGGGCCCAGGTGACTACAGCGAACAACCTAGATCTCTGTGGCTTTTTAAGCATGAGAACAATATGATGACCACAACTTTAAAATGAAGTTGCTTGTTACATAAGCATTATGATATACTAGATGTGTTTTTAATATAAGGTTAATAGTCTTGGAGCCTAATGGCAGTATTTCAGAAAATACAGAAAAACAGCAGCAGTATGCTACTCATCATTAAGTTACCTCTGTCAAACTTCTAGTCTTCTGCTATGATTTCAGTCTACAAGGTAGACAAAACTACCAGCTCAACGATATTCAAAGGACTGTTGTGTGCACATATACACTCTGTGCTCCCTCGTTAATTTGGCAATATCAATCCAAAATCTCCAGATAGTTCTAAGCGAACTCCATGAGCAGGGAGGCTGGACAAAAATTGAGGCCATGGTTAAAGTTTTTACCGTTATTATTTGCCAAGTTTTCTCAGTTTTCAAAGTATTTTTAGACTAATGAGATTCACAAGATTTCTGAATGTTAGGATACCACATTATCTAAAGTTCCCTTAAACTAGGTGATGTGCTGCGGAAACTGGTAATAAGAAGTCTTCTGGTAAATCATTCTAAGAACAGCTTTAAAACCTAATTCTCTAACCTGTCTGATCAAGAGACTTCAAAAACCCACTGTGAAAAAGAGAGTACTCCCAGAGGAAATTCTATTTGCTTTATATAAAAATAACTAAATAAAAAGAATACCAGAATTCCAGTACTAATAACCTTGCAAATGGCTGAGACGATGGCCTACCTTATGCTCCCATCAGTCTACCAGCATCATAGACTCCACTTCTAACCACCAAAGCAGAGACAGATGGGAAATAAAATAAAAAACATATATATTCTGGTAGGCATAGACTTGTGCCTCAAAATCCCTAGAGGTGTAGTTAGCTCATCGTAATCCACCTCCTGTCATGGCTTATTGCTTAATTATGGTGATGTATTTAACTTATTTATCACAAGAAAGCAATAATCTTTCACTTTTTTAAAGTGTACATTAACCATGTTGCACACATAATAGATCACAAGACTATCTAGTGCAGGGTTTAAAACTATCAAGTAAGGCACATCGTGGATACCTAAATGTCCCTTGAGAAGTTGGAAAATGTCTATAAGCATATTTAAAATAAACTGCAATAGTACCAAAGCCTTTAATGGAGCTAGGAGAGCTGTTTTATGCACACTATCTTGCAGTAATCGCTGTAGTTTAAAATAGATTTTAATCAAGCACCATCTGCATAATAGGTTGAACAGACAACATAGAATTCTACTTATAACTCTTATCATATAAAGTAAATATTGTAAAACCTCTACCACATAAAGAGAATACGCTGCAGCAGTTCTCTGGTAATCGTGTTTCTGTTAGTTAATTCTTGCTACTTGCAGTCCTCTTACTATCTTCCCTCTAAACTACATTATCCAAAATTCGCTCGTAAGTGATATTCAAATGATCATGGAAGAAAACCCTGTCATCCATCTATGGAGAAATACATATTTGCAAGCCAACAATGATTTCAGCATCTCACAGTTATGCTTGGCAATAACAGAATACATGTTCAATAATCGAACAATATGAATTATGACAAGAATTACATAAATGTAATATTCCAATTCTGAGGTGGTCAGAATAAAGTATGCGGTAAGTGGCCACTTTGTTTAGAATGTTTTTATAGTTGCTTATGTCTATAGAGTTTTAAGTTTACCCTTTATTCTTCTAACCACAGTCCTATGTATTGAATTTAGAAGACTTAAGCAGACTTAGGGTTGTATACCACCTGCACAAACAACTGCCTTGGTCAAAGGCTACAGTTCATATTTCCATGGTCCTAACCAGCTTTCCCTCTGTACAGATGCAGCTTCATAATGATGCTCCTGTTGTCACTGATCTTGTGGTCAAGCAACGTCAGCCGTCTTGCTTTTAGAGCAACCGAGATTTCCTGAACACAGCTGCTTTCCCTCTTTTGTGCTCCTTAGCTAAGGAGTATGTGCAGTTTAAAGCCCAAGTGGTCTATATGAAATGGCCCTTATTAGAATGAGCATTGCCAAAAATTTTTAGCAGCTGCTGCCAGTAGCTGTGTATATATACACAGGCCTCTATAAAGCCTGGATAGGGCCTAGAACAATTTGAATGATATTTACCACTGAATGAACTGCCTGGAAGCTCAGTGCATGCACAATTACACCAGTTTATAAAGCTTCTCTACTGCTGGTATTTGGGATATGTGCATTAAGTTGATGTGGCAATTTCCTATATGCACTCAAATCAATGGTGCAGTAGGGATACAATTATATTTCTAGTCCAAAGGCATATATTTGTTTATACCCTTGGCCATCCCCATTTTATTAATTCACGCAAACCTGGAACAGGACGCTGAGATTGCTCTACCTTTTCTCCACAGAGAAATGGCTATAGTTGTTAGGGTTTTCTCTACCAAATCTGCTATCAAAGGTTCAGTGGCTTCTCTGTTAAATGTAAAGCTGGGTATTCAGCTGGTATAAACTAACGGAGGTTATCTGACAATGAGGTAAAGGAGAGCTATACCATTTGAAAATATACTTTGTCTTTTTAATCAATGCTGGTAAAGGAATTGGCCAACATCTCTTGCCAATTCAATAGGAGAATGTCACTGTTGTTAATAGTAAGATGAATTCAGAGGGACTTGTTTTTTACACAGTCTTCATGGCAGGAACATCCTACTGACTTCATGAAGCTGTGCTTCGAAATCTGTTCAAGAATGACGATCTCTGGTAGCTACCATGTGACGTTAACGTGCACATTGCTATTTAATGACTGAATAAGGAACTCCGGCTTTGATTTATTAAATCATACCTCACATTTACAGGACAATTTATTAAACAAAGAGAAAACTCCAAATTCAGCAAAGTTACTTGCAGGTAAAAGATACAGCTCTCACAAGAGTCAGAGCTGCCACTCTACGGCTTCCTGACCCCATTCAGCGTTGTCTCTCACTAGGAAAAGAATTTCTGGGATGAGGAGAAACCTCACATACCCCTCCAGAGCAGCTCTGAGAAAACTGTATACTGTCACGGCTGAGGAAATGGATCTCAAAAGAAAGCTGGCTTATACTAAGTACTTGTATCCCTTCATTGGCAGCTTCCAGGAAGACCAGTATAACAGAAAGATACCCGACAGAGGAGTTTAAATTGTATACTACAACAATGCACTGGTTTCTTATACTGATTAATCAAAATCTCTTTGCTTTTACAGAGGGATAAAAGAACTGTTATATTTGGATCAGCTGTTCTAGCCCAGTGCACTGTCTCCACCTGTGGCCAACTTCAGGCATTAAACAGGAAGATATAAGAAATCCCACAGTAGACAGATATGGCATAATCTGCCCCCCATCAAGCTTGCAGTTTAATCCCTATTAGTCAGAGACTAATATAAGCCCTCTATCATCAATATTAAGATCCTTTAAAACAGTACTGTTAGCACAGAAAATGATAATTATGAAAGAATTTGAAGGTAATGTATTAACTTCTGCCTACTGACTAATTTTTCTTTTTAATTTTGTGTTTTGTGTTTTCCCTTTTCTAATCTTTTTCTACTTAGACTAAGAATGAGAGAATTTGAAAGAGAGGCTTCTAAAACAATATGGCTTATTAAAAAGATCTACATTATATAAACTGGTATCCACAAAAGCAGGGCCAAGCGTTACTTGGTATGCAGACTTTGGTATTTCTTATTGAAAATACTAGCTTCAGATGAGTCACTGTCTGCATGAAACCACAATCGTACATTTTTGATAGCATGAAGTGTTGAAAAGGTACATCACACATAGGGGTTAACTAATTGAAATATTCAATAAAAGAATAAAGGATACCTCAATTATTTGATTGGACTTTCTCTCCAGAAGTTTACAGACCTCCGCATCCTACACAATCCCATCAATATATAAAAATATTAGCAAAGAAACAGGAGTAGCAAATAAATTATTCTGAAAAAGTAAAGGCTGCCTTGAATTATTTTTACATAGTTGTATTCTAATGTTTCCCTCAGTAAGGAAGTGCTCATTTAAAATGTATGAATTATTCAGCAACTTTTAAAACCTGAAGTTTGTGAAATTAGAGTAAAGTTCTGAAATAAAACTTTGAATCAGAATTTATTCAAAATGTAGTAAAACATATGTTTCCAATTACATGATTATTTTATAGCTCGAGGCATGAAAAACAATATAATTTGAAAACAAATCAGACTTACATTTCTTGATTGGATTATACCTCCTCAGTGACTCACAATGTGTTTTTTTTCACATTCCTTGCAAGTCTGCAACTTTTCCCCACAAGATACAGCTATGTTACAACATCTTCACTACAGCGTAATAGGACTGCTATTTTGTAGTGACCATAAAACAGAGCTAAGAGGTACTCAATTTCAATATGCTCTATTTCCAGTTTATTGGATGACTTTGTGCTAAGTCACAATCCTTTTGTGACTCTAAAATTAAGACAATATACTTGCTTAACTTTGGGGAGGTTTTCAGGATCTGGGAAGATTTGGGAGGTTCTTGCATGCAAGCTGCTATACAGATTGTTATTTATCATTCAAATAAATTTCTTATTTATTACTTAAATTATGATTATTACTGTGTGCCTTTAGTGACAATAAAATGAAGCCTAAATGTATCATCCTGGCGTATCAGCACCTCCAGAAGTGTAAATGCGTAACACATCTTTGAGTTTTTCAAGGTAAGATTTTTAAAGTTGTTAGAGGATCTTTCTGTTCTGGTTGCTATGATGTTCACTCATCTTGTGATCAAGTAGCAAAGATTAGCACGCTGTGCTCACATTTCACACTTTTTATAGCAGTAATTGCTTGATCTTTACCTTAGAAGACGCATCCATTCTATGCAGGCGAGAAACTTCAACCTTTACATTAAAGTCCTACAGGAATGGCTATCCTTTAATCTTCTATAGGATTCCAGTTTGTTCACTCAAAGACAAATGATGTCTTTAACTCAAGCTGCCTAAAGAATTGACTGGAAACTGGAAGTTGTGTATTCATAACCCTTTTTCACTTCATTCAATCACCAACAATTAAAAAAGTATCACCTTAACAACTGTGGCCATACAATTCATTTAGCAGGTCCTAAAAATATCCGCCACTTACATTGTAATCCTAACGTCTAAGCCTACCTTAGAGCTATCTTCTCCTTCATCTTCATGGACTGAACTGGATGGTGAAGGAGTTGCAGATTTGCTTCCAGGTGGAGAGGGTGAGTTGTGAGGAACATTGTTTCCACCCATATTCAAACCAAGCTGTGCACTGAGCTGGGACTGGTTAATAGTAGTCAGCTGCCCATGCTGCATCATTCCTGGCTGCCTAATATCTGCAGGTTGAACCCTTGGCCTCATGGTTGCCATCTGAGGATGGGAACTATACTGGGCTCCTTCTGTATTCCGTAAATCTTGCATCTACAAGAGGAAAAAAACTGTATTAAGCATATCACTAATAAAGTGCTCTGTTCCTTTAGACCTCAGTTTTCCTGATTGGCTACATCGTGTTTAAAAGAAATGGCAAGTACTTAAATAAACATATAAATATTGGAAATAAACAAAATAGGATATAATTGACATATGCATAACACTGACTGTTATAAAGTGTTCAGGCTCTAGCCTCAGCCCATGGGAATAGGATGGCGCACTAAAAGCTTGTTTCTCCAAGGGGGGACAAAAGGACGCTGCTTTAACTGCGTGCAGAGTATTTCAGAAATGCTAACAAACAGGGACAGGTTTGCATTCTGAAGTTCAGAATGAGAGCAGAACACCAATATCCTCAAAATTCCAATTTCCAGATCCTACTGTTCTACATAAGATTCGTGTGTGTTTGAGCTGGGAATCTGGGAACTAGAGTTTTTAGAGTTTGAGTAGCTACTGTTAAGTCCAAATCTATTCTGCCTCACGCTGCCCAGTGAGATTCAGAACACGGACAAGAAGGATCCACCCGCTGCTAGCCTGATCAATTGATTCCTGCGTTGATTTGCTGCTAAGACATACATGAACCGAATGCCCTGAAGCTGCAGAGTTGACAAATGAATCCATTGTGCTATGTGGGTCACCGCGTCGTAGCATTAACGAGATATACTATTTTAATTCAAGCAACAAATTCTGTCTCTGCAAGGATAAGAACTAAAAGCACTAGAGGATGAAACTCTTTTCTTACCCAGAGGTCAAATGCAGCATACATAGACACTATAGCAGACTGCCTATAACGTCTTTCAGTGTACTCATACCGAGACATGACAAAAGACAAAGAGCATTGAGGAGAAGCTCAGGTTTAAGCTAAGGTGTTCAGTGGGTGATTTAAAATTGAAGTGTCAGTTCAAAGCTGAAATGACATAGATATAGTTGTCTTTCCAGACAAACATGCCATACATATCCAGTAGCATCTGACAGGAACTGTCGTTGCATAAGTTCCATTATGGTAAGGGCATGTGTTAATGATTCAATATATTAACATAACCACATTTATTCTACTGACAGTCTTTGTTAGCAGTGTTATCCGAAACGTCTAAAGATCACTCAAGTTTTTGCTTTGTTTTGTTTTGTTGTTAATTTTTTGGTTTTTTACTTTTTATACCTCAAGATTTCTACAACCTCTCTCTCTCATACACGCACTCCTGGATATCAAGTGCAATCTGTGAGACAGCTCTCAACCAGCCAGCTACTGAATCAGGCTCAGAAAAAGAAAAGATAAATCTGGAACTTCACCTTTTCTCTGATTATTGATAGAGTAAAATATTACAAAATTTTAGGGAGATATTTTACGAGCCTGGGGATTGATTTTTGTAAAGCTGACTGGCTGGCAGTAAATCAAACTAATAATACCATTCGAGCTGGAATACTTACCACTTTAAACGTACTTGTAACTCTCAAAAGTATTTGAAATAGATTCTGACAACATGACATCACAATTATACCTCTATGTATGTTGCTTTAGAAATTAATAGCTTTCGGTAAAAAAGTGCTTATCAATACAGATACGTTCAAGTTCATTCAATGGCTACCAAACCACTGGAGGAGTAAAAGAAAGACAGACCAGCGCACAAAATCAATTGAGGGCTGAAATTTGAATCCTGGTAGATATCTATATTTTTAAAGATCGCCGCTGGCTCTTGTTGCTCCCTTCCCTCCAGTACCAGCTTCCCTTCCAGGCAAACGTATCTGCCCGGGAAGCTCCCATCACCTCCGCCTCCAGCAGGCAACCTACAGCACGG